TTCTGCTAGTATACTGCTATATTACAGACAACATGCCACCTTTAAACAATATGAAAAACGCATTTTATCCCATGGAACAAATAAGAATTCGTAAAGTAACTGAAAAATATTGAACGGAACTTCTTCTCTTTTTTTATATCTGAAAACAGCACAAAAATGAGTTTCTTCTAAGTAAGAAAAATTGAATTACAATTAGACAGTTTTGTAAAATGAGTGAATCTCTGATTGGATACTTAAATAATTCGCTAGTATTGAAGTAACACAATGAATCTGATAGAGAGCGCTCTTAATCAATCACAATGTAGCGATTTAGTCTATGTGGTATCCTAAAAGAATCAATTGGCACCTCAGCACCTGTTCAGCACCTGTTCAGCACCTCAGCACCTATCCAGCACTTTTCGGTGCTGGGTGCCAGCACTTTCCCCCTTGTTAAAATGACACTCAAGCTGTTACAATTATCTGTTCTGTTCGAAAACAGTGATAAACGGCCAAAAAGACATGATCGTCACTCTTTTTGCTGTATTTATGTCCATTTCGTGTTCCCAAGAGTCATTCAAATTAAATGGTCTCAGAAACGGTTGTATGACTCTTTTTTCTTCGTTAAAAATAGTGAAAAGCATTTATGATCGTTTTCCTTTCCACTGAAAACGTCTGTGAATGCTGGAAGCAATTTCATTTTAGTTGGAACTGTAGTTCGCATAGGTATTTACGCTATCGTAAAATTGTGTTTATTTTAATTTTTCAGATAATATGCGTAAAGCAGTTAATCCGTTTGGAAGTTTCATTCATATTTGTGATATACGATTTATAAGCTGCACAATCCAATGAGAAACGCCAGCGAAATCAAAAAAACAATAGCATTTTTATTGAATAGGTATTCGACATATGTATATGAGTTAAACAGAGCTGATCTCATATACTTGAAAATTTGTAGTTAGTCCCAATCCAATTAGAAAGAGGAAACTAACAGAAGAACAGAAAAAAGTTACGTCGAGAAGTAGACAAAGAAAAAAAATTAGAAAAGAAGAGAGAGAAAAAAGAGAAAGCAAATTCATCCACGATATTCATTCATTTAACAAGTGATTGCTCATGAAGTGAACATTGCCTCTGTGAACGATATGGTTATACGCCAAGATAATAATTATTAACGACGTGTTAATTTAATCTAAAACAGTATTTACTTTAAAGGGAAATGTTCATAATTACTGTCTACGAATTGAGAAGAAGGATTCTTGTCAATACTTGATCATGCTTACAAAACATGATCAAAAAGATTCAGATGGTTTTAATAAAATTTTTCAGTGTTGAGTGACGTAGAGAGTTTAGTTTTTTAGTTGTACATTTGTTTTTTCTTTTTTTTCTTGAGATAGTGAGTGTAGAGAACTTTCTTGTACGCTGAGTCGATATAGTTAACGAAATCAGGTGATTTGTCAAAACAATTTACAAAAGCTTGTTAGCGCAGCCCCTTTGGGGCTAAAATGTGGAACTCACATATACCCCTTAGATTTTTTATGCCAATGCAAAAGAGCTTAACTCAAAAATCTATTAGATTCTTTAAAATTTATAGTAATGGCATAACCTATTTACTTATGCCTGTAATGGTATCACCCCTGTGTTGCTTGTGTCTGTAATGGTAGCCTCCCCTTGATTCTTAGTATATGTAAAGAAGGAAATGGCAACCTAATTAGTCTAATTGCTAATTAGCACAAGTTTAAACTCATTAAAGTCCTTAATGGTAACCTAATTAGTCTAATTACTAATTAGCACAGTTTTAAACTAGTTAATGTCTGTAATGGGAACGGGGGGTGGGGAGCCGCAAAAATCTCGCTTTTATACTTACACTCACCATTTTCTTCGAAAATATATGTGAGTTCCACAAAAGAGAATTTATTTGTCATTTAGTAGGATCACATTGCATAATGATTTCATTAATGAAACTGAGCTATTTAATATTTCTCAAATTAATTTATTAAAATCCACCAGTATGTCATTTCCTTCTAACTAAAGACATTATTCGACATAAATAAATAGAAAGAAGAAATATATACAGCCTGCCCAGCTAACGCGGACCCTGGTTGGACAAAGTTGAGCAGAAGATTTCATCGACATAAGACAATCCAATTTTATTCATTTAAAAATTTTTTAGAGGTTTTCGTATGTCGTTTATTGATATAGGACGTTCATTTTGAATAATAGTGAAAATAAGCTGTAGTTCCCAGCCAAAATGAAGTACTTTTTATGCAAAAACGGTGAAAACATACCTTATTATCTCTATCATGTTTTCAAGCTTAATGTATCGTGTAAAAAAGAGTAGAAGTAATGATAGTATGATGTGGGTATGGGTGCCAATTTTCTTTTAATTCTCACCCACACCCGCTGGAGGTGAAGCACTAACACGGCAAATTCACGAACTACGCAATAGAGCATGATACGAAGGTACAATTCCTGAAGAATGGGGGAAATCTATCGTAGTACCAATACCAAAGAAAGAAGATCTAAGCGAACTTGCCAATTACCAAACGATATCCCCTATCAACCACACAGGAAAAGTACTGCTAATGGTGCTACTGCACAGGCTCAAGCAACAACTGGAACCCCATTTGTCTGAAGAACAAGCAGGATTTAGAAAAGACAGAAGCACAATACACCAAGTTTTGACACTCAGACTAATAGCAGAGAAGGTGAAAAGACAAGGAAAGAAAGTATACAACTACTTCATAGACTTCCAAAAAGCATTCGACACAATTAAGCACAAAGTCATATGGGCAATGGTAAGGCCATACGGTATACAAGAAAAAATGGTGACCCTACTACAACAGATATACGAAAACTCCCAGTCAGCAGTACGATTAGGGAAGAACCAAGGAGAATGGTTCAGTACAGACGTAGGGACCCGACAAGGTGATCCTCTGTCACCACTACTGTTCATCGCATATCTCGAACGAGTGATGGATCACGTGAAAGACACTAATTGTAGCCTCAACATCAGTGTAACACGAGTGAATAACCTGAGATTTGTAGGTGACATTGACCTAATAGGCAAAGACTGCAGTTCCTTACAGAAACAACTCGAGACAACGAGAATAGCCGCAGAACAAGCAGGGCTACTCCCGAGCACAGCCAAAAACCAAATCAATGGTATTTAGTGAGCGAACCATCGAACAAGCCATACACATAAGAGGAAAACCTATAGAAAATGTGAATAAATTCGAATATCTAGGAAGCCTATCAACGTGGGATAGCAAATGCTCAGAGGAGATAAAAAGAAGAATAGAAAAAGCAGCCGACGCAATGGCATCCTTGAAACATATATGGAATGGCAAGAAGCTAACAATAAAAAACAAATTAAGAATCCAAGCAGCTTGTGTCTTCAGTGTTCTACTATACGCCTAGGAAACATGGACCCTGGAACAAACCGACAAGAAAAAGCTACTGGCATTCGAAGTGAAATGCTACCGAAGGGTACTAAGAATCAGCTGGACAGATATGATAAGAAACAAATATTTACGGAAGAAAATATCGAAAAAGGAAACTATAATAGACATAGTTAAGAAGAGAAAATGAAGACTATTTTGGCCATATCTGTAGAATGAACGATAATAGGCTAATCAAACACACAGTATTCGCAAAGATAGATGGAAAATCCCCAGGAGATCGTCCATGTAGAGCATGACTGGATAATATCAAAGACTGGCGTGGAAGCAGCGGAGAAGACCTGTACCACCAAGCGCAAGACCGACGGTTATGGAAGAAACCAATCCACAAAGTGGTTGGCCCTGGTGGGCAATAAGCCTATGGGACATCATGAATCATGAATTCTAATAAATAAGTTATATTTAGCTACGATTTTCTATTTTCTTTTCTATCCAACTAAAAGACTAAAAAGAAAAGCATATATAAATACTTATGCTTCTATTTGATCGGATCGCTTGGAAAAAGCTAAATCAAAAGCGGTTCTTTGAAAAAAATAATAATTGCATAGAATTTTTTAACTTACTGATGAAATTCTTCAAGATTTATGAATGAACACTTACGTTTGTTTTCATAGAAGTCTCACCTACTTAAAATAAAGTTTCATTTTGTTTTTTAGGTTGATCTAACTACTGAAGGTTGATAATATTTTAATGTGAGATTACCCAGGTCGAGCAATCTTGCATAAAGATCAGGTATGAATTCTTGTATGATCATATCCGATCTTACTCAAGAATCGTATATGATCATACAAGATCATACGAAAAATCATACGAAAAATCGTCGTCGCTGACATCTGATGTCAGATCGTACGGTAAGCTTCGTATACGATTTAACAATATGATCCGGTATGGTTACATAATATCATATGCTAAGATTACCACAGATTTAAATATAGATACATATTTTTTATGTTTTTGAGTATTTTTAGATCAAATACAGTTGAAATTGATTGCACATCTTGAAGAAATCTTTTATTTTTCAAGTAAATGTACTAATACACAACCTGGAGGTCACTGATATACGATAAATCAAAAAACAAATAGCCACAAACGAGTACAAGAGAGAGAAGACGTTACCATAAAAACAAATCAATAGAAGCAAAGATACAACTTCACTAAAAACACCAGAGAAGCAAACTTCTCTCATAGAAAAATCTTCTCTGTGACACAAATAGCACTTCAAAATTTGGGGCAGCACAAACGAACAACATTACAATCTTTGTTATATCGCAAAGAAAACTAAAAACCATTTTCTCTGCAACGCGCAAAGGGTTAGCCTAAATATGAGGATACAATAAAACCGAAATGTCCTTCTACATAACGCTTAACATACAAATAGAACAAATAATCATCCTTTCAAAAACTATCAAAAAAGAGGAAAAATTACAACAACAAAAATGAAAAGAACAAAAAACAAACATGAACAATACGTGAACCGATCGAGTAATAACCATTACAATGGGTCGATGTGATCCATCATTTTCCAAACACGTCCTCGAAAACATAAATATAAAACCCAATTTCATCTCGTCATCTAAAAAGGAAATAACAATTTTCCAACGTTTTCATTCTTTTTCAAAACACCTTACCAAGAATTTTAACGACAAAATTATTGTTCAAATACAATTATCATTCTTTTGAGCCACGCCTGGTGAATCTGGTCCATCAAAAAAAGAAGCATCATGAGCCGATGTTAAACCACTTGGATCACTAGCCGTTGGATTGCCCATTGCACGCTTCTGTACACGATGAATATCACATAACATTTGGGCTAAACTTCTATGAAAACACGTTCGAAAAAAATCCTCAAATCGAACGCGATCAATCTTGAATCGAGCACCAACTGCTTCTAAACATGAAGGAAAACAATTATTCCGAAATCGTACCAAAGTACAACAAAATTCGACTGAAAACAAATTTCATAGTAACAAAATTACTATCATCACCATCCCTATCAATACTTTAACACCATAACCAATAAGAGTATACCCGATAACACCATATTACAATAATCAAGGATAAACACTTCAACCTACCTATCAAAAGACACAAAAGCAGAATAGACAGCTCTGTATATTATCAATAGAGATAAAAAAAAAAAGTTTTATGTTCAAGTGTATTCAGCAAAACGAAAAACAATAATAGTCATCTATATGATCGTAATAGATTCAAAACAATAATGGCCATCTATATGATCGATATAGATTCAAAGCAATGCGGATAGGTGGCAACGCATTCAAGTCAAGAGAAAAGAAATTTTTTGGCTAGTTGATGATGAAGAGTTAATTGAAATTTTTATCAGTTCATTTATGGTGAGTTTTGAAAAAATGCGCGATTTACCTGCCCAGATTGCCATTCGTTGAGGATCTAATCCCGGACGAGCGTAGATGCGATTGGAAATCAAAACGGAATTACTGAGTTCACCAGGTGAGAAGATGAGTTTCAAGATGGTGCGAGCATATTTTTTATAATCAGCTGATTTAGCAACATCCAACAAGTTGGTTCCATTGAACTCCTTTGGTAAAACGTTAGTGATGCATTTAGATTGTAGCTGGAATTACTTTAATAACTTACAACTACTCGTGGATATTCATTAGACAGATTTTGGTATATTGCTAAAGCAGGATGATGCTAGTAAAGAAAAAAGAACGTTGAGAGACAGAGTTTATATTGGAATAAACTATATTACTGAGTTATCTTGTAGAGATCTGGATAAAGACCGTAGTTGTTTATCTACTTTGGCCATTTGTGTTTGCACACCACCGGCCAATGAATTAGTTGTGCTAGCCAAATCGAAAGGAAATGTATAATATAATACTGATTTCATTGATTTAATTGCACTTGACTGTGCAGTTATGAACGTCTAGAATTCATTGAAAAACATAGTGATTAGTGAAGATGTTGATGGGTGCTAACTACTTACCGGCTCGTAGTTGATCGAACTTTTCATTGAAGTATATTTGATAAACAGCATTGTCATGATTTGTATCAGGATCTAAAAGTTAATGAATATTTTATTAGAAGCAATATTTACAAGAAATGTTATGTGAATCGATATGGTATACATCTTGGTTTTTAAGAAAGATTGCTTTCCTCATTCAGAAAGTCACTTACTTTCAGCTTCTTCATCGGATGAATTTGAATCGTGGGCTTTATCAAACGTGTTATTAGCGCCAGTGTTGTTTCGACGAGTATCATTATGCGAAGTTGCTCGTTTTTGTTTCTGTATTACCGGTTCTTCTTGTAAATCATCTTCATCATCTTCATCTGCTTCATATTGTACATATTGATTAGCACCGAAACCTGTGAAAAGAAGATAATAGTTGTAGCAAGTTCCTCTTATCTTACGTAATTCATTATCTTCGTCATTATCGAGTACGTTCATTGTATTAATGGATTTTTTACGAAGAACATTTTGACTTGGTTGATATTTTGCCATAGGATTACGCTTATCATTGGAACGACGAGCACGATAAGTAGTAAATTCAGCTGAAAAATAAAAATGATATGCGATGATTTTCAGTGATTTTCGCTGATAAACAATTAAACTGTATCCAGGTTTCTATTCTAAATTGGAAGATCACACTATATTCTCATAAAAGAAAATATTAAATTGCTGTTGCGTTCGGTGAAGATAACAGAATTTTTTTAAGACTTACGCGCATTTTGTTGAGCTCTTTGACTGTCATTTATAGATGTCATCGAATTCGATGGTAAATCAAGACGAACGGGAGTCGCTGCTGGATCTAAAACAAAATTTAAGAAAAAGAGCACAAATTGTGTTTTTAAAAGTAAATAGAAAACAATACGTAGAAACAAATTTTGTTTTGATTTCTTCCTTTGTGTTGAATCGAAATTTTCTAAACCAATGAAAGAAAGTTGATATCAAGTCTCCATGGTAGAAGAGTTCTTACCGTTAGTTGTTTTTCGTTTAGGTGTTTTTCTCGACTCAGACATTTGGGTCGATCGTACTTGAGTTGACGCTTGACTGAGAACCTTTAAATGTGCTGTGTTGTGTGTCGAATTTTTTAAGGCTCTCCCCCCACCCCAAAAAGTCAATTTTCATCAAATTTTTCACTTTTTCAATTTATAGCGTATTTTATAGAGCAAAGTGTCCGCTATCGAACGCACTATAATTTATGTATTTT